GTGTGTATATATAATTAATAAATATGTGTATGTAATTAATAAATGTGTGTATGTAATTAATAAATGTGTATATATATATATATGATTAATAAATGTGTGTATGTGTATATATAATTGATATTTTGATATTTTAAGCTTCACATCAAATATATGAGGAAAAATAGTTGAAGTTGAAATTTATTTATTTCTCTTTTCTTCATATTTAATTCTAAAGAAATTTACAGCATATGTAAAATTCAGTAATGTATCTTTCTTGATATGTTTTAACTCTGCATTACTTGGGTATGGGTTGCCCCTGTAGCTCTGGATTTTGTAGCTGGTGAGACAGGGTGCACCTGTTGTAGACCCTGTGGTAAAGCTCTGGATTTCTGAGCTAATGAGGCAGGTTTGAATCTGTGCAACAGAAAATATTATAAAGTTAGAGGAGTAATGATGCAATGTTATTTTATGTTAATAACTTTATAATTAAAATATGAAACTAAGAAAGGAATAAAAACTAAGCTTTTCCCCCATAGGTGTGATGGAAGAAAACTAACAGAATTAAGAGACATTAACTGTGAAGTGGATTTGTTTAAACCACTGCATGGTTCAGCTCTATTTCAACGTGGTCAGACTCAGGTCAGTGTACTGGATCTGTGAGGTATTATATGTTTCAGTATCAGACTCAGGTTAGTGTACTGGATCTCTGAGATATTATATGTTTCAGTATAGCCAGACTTGGGTTAGTGTACTGGATCTCTGAGATATTATATGTTTCAGTATAGTCAGACTCAGGTTAGTGTACTGGATCTCTGAGGTATTATATGTTTCAGTATAGTCAGACTCAGGTTAGTGTACTGGATCTCTGAGGTATTATATGTTTCAGTATAGTCAGACTCAGGTTAGTGTACTGGATCTCTGAGGTATTATATGTTTCAGTATAGTCAGACTTAATTCAGTGTACTGGATATCTGACGGATTATACCTTGATTATGGTCAGACTCGGGTTAGTGTACTGGATCTCTGAGGTATTATATGTTTCAGTATAGCCAGATTCGGGTTAGTGTACTGGATCTCTGAGGTATTATATGTTTCAGTATAGTCAGACTCAGGCTAGTGTACTGGATCTCTGAGATATTATATGTTTCAGTATAGCCAGATTCGGGTTAGTGTACTGGATCTCTGACGGATTATATGTTTCAGTATAGTCAGACTCAGGCTAGTGTACTGGATCTCTGAGATATTATATGTTTCAGTATAGTCAGACTCAGGCTAGTGTACTGGATCTCTGAGATATTATATGTTTCAGTATAGCCAGATTCGGGTTAGTGTACTGGATCTCTGAGATATTATATGTTTCAGTATAGTCAGACTTAATTCAGTGTACTGGATATCTGACGGATTATATCTTTATTATGGTCAGACTCGGGTTAGTGTACTGGATCTCTGAAGTATTATATGTTTCAGTGTAGTCAGACTCAGCTTAGTGTACTGGATCTCTGAGGTGTTATATGTTTAAGTATGTTCAGACTCAGGTCAGTGTACTGGAACTTTGAATTATTAAATGTTTTAGTATAGTCAGACTTTAGTTTCTTGACAGATTATATGAATGCATCGGAGAAACATTATTCTAATTTAGTATTAGTTTTGATTTTCTTATTTGTTGATGTGTTTCTGTTATGTATTCCATTTGTGTACAATGTAAAACCTTTAATTTTTTAGAATATTTAGTTTGTTGCAAGTGTTTGTAGTGTACAGTTCTCAAAAAGTCTGCTGTAAGGATTAATAAAGTACTGTTAGTAGCTAGCCTATATTACCTAAAGACATGCTCATGTAAGTTAATATTTCTATTTTATGTAGGTGTTATGTAATGTAGCCTTTGACTCCCTAGACTCGGTGTTTCGGGCTGATCCTATATCTGTAATAACTGGGTAAGTTTAGAAGCATTATTATACTAAAACCTTATTTGTGTTCTCACATATACACTGATTAGTTAGTTCATTATGACCACCCCTCCACCACCACATTTGTAAAATATCATATTTATTTGTATGTACAAAACAGACTGATGGATGTGATGTGTCGACTAATCTTAGAGACTTCATCGTCTCATGGTTAGAGCACGAATCTGTCTAACTTTCAACATGTTGGCATCTATCTAGCATCAAAGGTTGGTTCTTTGATCAACTGTTCAAAGATATGGCAGTTGAAAGGAATATTGTCTGCCACTAGGAAAAAACCTGTAATAATTGACCCAAGAGAAAAGACAATTCAGCAGACTTTAGACTCTGTCCAAATTAATCAATTCCTTCAAATGTGCCTAGTATTCAGTTAACTCTGTATTTTTCAAAAAAAACAATGAAATCCACTCCAAAAATTATATATTTCAGATGCAAACAGAAGCACAAAGCTTCATTGATGTTTGGAGCACTGACTGTTTGAGAATGAATTGTGTGTGTGGCTACATTTAACCTCTTTCTAAATTACATAAAGAATTGTAAAAGGAAAGCAAAAACAAAAACACATTAGGTATTGACTTTGTATGTATTGTTTTTGGAAAGTGTTTGGTTTTGTCTGTTACCTTAGAAAAGTAGCCTTTGTATGGTTTTAAAGTAAAATATGATGATTACCTTACTAAAAAAACTATAATGTTCACTATCACTGGAATCCATAGAAAATATACTTCAACAGTAATATTGATAAAGTTTTTACCAGATTAGTTTTAACAAGTAATCAACAGATAATTACAGAGTATCACATGAGTTGAAAGCAGACATGTTTTGGTTTATTTTTGTATGTTTGGAGCAGAGATAAGTAATTGTTTCAAGTTTACTATTAGTTTTACAAAGTAGTATTTATTAAGTCAGAGGGAGAGAGACTTGAAAATCATGCCAGATTGCTACTGAAGTATTTATGTGAAAATTATTAGCAGGGTATGTGTTCCTTGTAACATTGAATATCTTGTGGAGTATAAACTGTGTTAAAGGCAAACTTGGCCCATCATGGCCAGGTGGTTAAGGAGCTTGACTCGCAATCTGCGGATTGCGGGTTTGAATCCCCATCACACCAAACATGCTCACCATTTCAGCTGTGGGGGTGTTATAATGTGACGGTCAATTCCACTATTCGTTGGTAAAAGGAGTAGCCCAAGAGTTAGCAGTGGGTGTTGATGACTAGCTGCCTTCCCTCTAGTCTTACATTGCTAAATTAGGGACGGCTAGTGCAGATAGCCCTCGTGTAGCTTTGTACGAAATTCACAACAAACAAACAAAGGCAAATTTAATATTTTACAAAGTTATCCTATTACAGTTGAAGCAAAAATTTCAGTGTGCAGATAGCCCTCGTGTAGCTTTGTATGAAATTCACAACAAACAAACAAAGGCAAATTTAATATTTTACACTGAAATTTTTGCTTCAACTGTAATAGGATAACTTTGTTTTCTTTACAGTATGACAGGTTGATAAAATATCTTTAAAATAGTGAGACTGTTTTGACAACCGTACAAGTGTACAGCATTTATTTAAAGTATTTTTAACATTAGACTAAAACAGATTTTTTCGGTGTTTATTTTTGCAGGGGACTGAAGGAGAAAAACTTTATGCTTCATTATGAAGTAAGTCTGTAGCTTGTATTGTTTCTCCTACCAGTTAATAACAATATTAAATTTGATAACCCTGCTTTATAATGGATCTGGTATCGATCCATAACAATTAGTCCTAGAAAACATGAATTTCTCGTAAAATTTAGAACTGATGAATAAATGATTATTCACCTGTATGAAAGTAATATCCAACTCATGCAGCAATTTATAAAATTCAAGTCTGTAAATAAACACACATCTGTGTATAGCATTCGTATGACCAGTATTAATCTGACAGTCAAAGAGTTGCACGCAGATTTCTATTAGAAACTTTCAAGCTTTGCCTACACCATTTTCAGTGTAAATTTCAAAATTACTAAGACATTCATGAATTAAAATCTACTTCAAAGTAACCCTCATGCTAATGGTGTATGTCAAAATGCACATTCAAAATTTAATAAATCATTTTGTTATCAATGTATATGAATAAACAATGTTTATCACAATGTTGCTAATAAATCAAGTTTTAGTATTATATAAGTTTTAATTTATTAATGTAAAAAGAAAATACTTAAATAAATTCACGAGCTTCCTTTGTTTGTGTGTCTTAACATCTGTTTATTCTGACTTACCAGTCCTCTGTTTTTATCATCACCCTTTTGATGTTTTAAGTTTAACTTAAATTACTTATTATAGTGTAGATATTACAGAGAAGTAGACTAATTTTTATATCAATCAATCTGCTACATTCATGGAGATATAAACTAGAATGTCAGATCCACTTGTCAAATAGTGTATAATGCTACATTGTTCTCAGTAGAGATTTTTAGTTATTATGGTTACAGACTAAACGTTATTATCACTGAGTTCAGAATTATTTTAAGGCACTTATGCCTTAGTTGGAAAGCTAGTTAAATTGTAAAAAGGTGTTTGCTTTGTGCATGTTATTATTTTGTGTTCTTAAGTGCATAATTGAAATGAATAAAAATTATTTAATTGGCTAATACCATCATTACAAAATAAGTTTTATCAGCAACCAACAACAAAAAAAACAACATAAGTACTAAATTTCTTATTTCCTACATATTTTTTATTTATTATTATAAAAGTAACTAAAATGTAAAACTTACCAACGTATTAGGTTAGGTAATGAAAATAAAATACAATTTTTTCACAAGGTATGCTTGCAAATAGCTAAGGCATTAATTTGAGCTATGTGTTTACTGAGTGATTTACGGCTTGTTTCGTGGAATTATGAATTAAACAAGGTTCAAAGGGCGATAAAACAAGTAAATTAAGCTGAAACAAATGGAGAATGTAGTTTTTTTTTACAATCCAGTCATTTTAGAAAGAAAATGTTAATTTAGATTTATTCCTTATTTTTTGTTGTGGTTACAAAGTTTGTCAAATTAACTGAGTCTATTTGGTGTTAGGTTAGAGAAAATAAGAAATCAAGAAATTTTACTTACAAAAAATATTTGTTGTCGATTTAGGAGGTCTTCAGAGGTTATCCAAATGAAATTTAAAAACTGTACACTGAAAAAAGTATTTTTAATCTTGTCATGAAAATCACCCTGCACTTGTGAACACTCGTAGTCTATATATATTCAAGGACAAATCTATAGTAAAAAAACCTTATTTTCTGTGTACAAAAGACCTGTATTTATGTTTACATATACTGGTTTCTACAATAAAGACTATATATATGTATTTATACCAGTTTCTACAGTAGACAACATATGTGTATATACTAGTTTATACCATAAAGTCTATATATGTATATATATACTAGTTTACACCATAAAGTCTATATACATCTATATATATATATAATATATTAGTTTACAACATAAAGTCCGTATATAAGTATATATATATACTAGTTTACACCATAAAGTCTATATATGTATATGTACTAATTTACACCATAAAGTCTGTGTATGTATATATATACTAGTTTACACCATAAAGTCTATATATGTATATGTATTAATTTACACCATAAAGTCTATCTGTATATACTAGTTTCAACTATAAAGTCTTTATATTTATATCTACTAGTTTGAATCGTAAAGTCTATTTATCTTTATATGCTAGTTTCCATGATAAAGACTATATATATATAAATATATATTAGCTTTCACCATAAACTCATATATATATATATATATATATATATTAGTTTCCACCATATGCAACAAATGAAACGGGACGTTCAGGGCCAGTTGGAAGAAGAGAGATTGGACATGGTGCTCTAGCTGAGAAGGCGTTAAGACCTCTTATTCCAAGTGACTTTCCTTTCACAATACGTCTGACGTCTGAAGTTTTGGAGTCTAATGGTGAGTTGAAATTATGTAAACTATTTGGATATTGTTAAATCATTTTCTTGCTGTCATTTTTAACTTGTCATCTCATTTATATTTCAGTAATCTGCTAACTGACTCTGGCCCAGTGTGTATGCGATTAGTTTAGTATGCCTTTAAGTGTGCTGTTTTATTCCTTTTTGTAAGGTTCTTCTTCAATGGCCACTGTTTGTGGAGGAAGTCTTGCTCTAATGGATTCTGGTGTTCCTTTATCTAGCCAGGCTGCAGGGGTAGCAGTAGGTTTGATGTCTCAACCTGACCCCAAGAATTCTTATGAACTTCAAGATTACCGTATTCTAACGGATATATCAGTAAGTTCGCTTTTAATTGCTTTACAAAAGTGGATTAGATGTTTATAGTTTTTTTTACTACCAGTGTTTTAATTGAAACTGTAAAATCACATGAAATTTATGTTTCAAAAATTAAATAGACTGCAGAATAAATTTAAAAAAATTAAATTATTGTTCAATGTTGTTTTGTGTCACACTTAAATATATTGCATTTTTGAATCTGTAAGTTTAATAGTTTAAGGGTGTGAAATTCTGGGTCTTTGCTTAGTTTCTTCTTGGGATTTATTTTGTTGCCAAGGTATGAAGAATCTATAGGCTTTCAGGTCTTTTCATATTAAAAAGAGAATTTCAAGGAAACACAGGAGACAACTGGATAGATTTCAATGATATGTGTGTGAAGTTGTAACAGCAAGTTTCATGTTGTAACAACTTTAAATTTAACACCAATAAACATGGAGGTGTTTTGTAATCATATAAATCTGTTAAAATGGGCGCCCGGCATGGCCAGGTGGTTAGGGCACTCGACTCGCAATCTGAGGGTTGCGGGTTTGGTTCCTGTCACACCAAACATGCTCACTCTTTCAGCTGTGGGGGCATTATAATGTGATGGTCAATCCCATTATTCATTGGTAAAAGAGTAGCCCAAGAGTTGGCAGTGGGTGGTGATGACTAGCTGCCTTCCCTCTAGTCTTACACTGCTAAATTAAGGATGGCTAGTGCAGATAGCCCTTGTGTAGCTTTGCGCAAAATTCAAAACAAACAAACAAACTGTTAAAATGGATACTAGGTTAACTGATGCCATCAGTAAAACAGAGCAGACAGCTGACTGGAGTTCATCACTGAAGTACTATTTAATCACATGCTGTATGTGTTCTGTTCAAGTATTTGCATAGGAGATAAAAATAATTTTTAAATTATAATTACCCGTGAAGAATTTTTACCTTTGTTGACTTTTTGTTTTATTTTAGGAGTAACCTTCGAAGTTTGCTAAATCTTGTGATATATTATTAGGATTATGTGCATGAATATTGTTAACAACAAGGTTTCCCTATTAATGATTCGTTGCATTCTGATCAGTATGTATTTTAGTTTTCTGGCATACTGATTTAATGCTAATTATTTGTTGGAAGTTTGTTGTGCAGGATTTTCTTCATTAATATTTATGTTTTTAAATTATTCAGGTTCTGATTTATAGAGATAGCTTACATTTTGTTTCTTAATAATGAAATTATTTATTTAACACAATATTACTTTGATTATAAAGCTGTTAATAGAAGTGTGTTAATAAGCCACATATTGACTGAAAAGATAAGATTCTACCCATTTGTAAAACAGTTGATTAATTAAGGATTTGGTGTTTTAATTTTAGTGTTGCACCACTACATTTCAAACAAAGTGTACATGTTATGTAACACCACTACATTTCAAACAAAGTGTACATGTTATGTTACATCACTACATTTCAAACAAAGTGTACACATTATAATTAAATAAGTAGAGTTATTTAAACATTTGTTTAACAACAAGTTAAAGCTTGGAATGGTCTATTCTTTCATTGGGGGTGTCTGTGAGCCAGACTAGTTTTGGAGAATTCTACTCCTCATAAATGACCCTGGACACTACCACTAATGAAATATCAAACCAAACCAAGCCTTCATACTAGTGAGGTATTAAAAATCAAACTGGTGTATTCACGTGTTTTACACTCACCAAAAAGAAACCTGTCATTCTATAGGTATTTGAAGAACTTGTAGCAAAAGTTCTTCAAATACCTATAGAA